AAAGAATATACCTCAAAATGCAGGGGGCTTAATATTATGATTTAAGGTATGTAGTAAACCCCCAAAAAGTCGGAAATCGGATCAAGGACAAGTAGTGCTGGGATTCCCTATACATCAATCTTAGGGAATGAGGCTATTGAGTTTCGAACTTTTGGGCTACTACTGCACGCCTGATTAACGGGTAATGGGCTCTATGCGTTTATCCTAATCCTCACACCTCCTGCACGCAGCCCACATCCCTGAAGCCCAAGCCAAGCCACTGAATGACACCGCAGATGCCGAAAAACTCGTCCTTGCGGTAGCAGGAGGGAGGGTGTTCTAGATGGATTGTGCTGGGTTTCGGATAGACAAGCCCACCAACTTGGAAAACCCTACCGTGATAAGCATCTCATGGCTGTTCTTACTACGTTTTGCGATCGCAAGCTGATTCCCCTCTGGGTAATGGTCGCTGCTGCTATGACGTTTAAGACAGCATCTGATGGCTGTCAGAAGGATGTGAACTGACAGGTCTCTTCGGCCACACACCCAGAAACTATGCACATCATTTTAATACAGGCAGTGATTTCAAGCCATCGAAGATGCTGAGATGTGCATGTTCCTCGGGCTGACTTGGAATCCAACTGCCAAGACAGCACCTCCTGCATCACCCTAAATGTGAAACCCTAAACGCCGAAGGATCTTGTATTCTTGGAAGATTTCATTCTACCTTCAGAAGAGAACTTTGGGGGGTGCAAGGATATCGAAGGATTCACCCGACAGGCCCAATCCTTGAAACTTAACAAAAACGAAGACAACAACTAGAAATACCTGTACAGTCTGTCTTGTTCTTCCATCTTGGGGATAACTATTGGGGGTTAACCAAACCCTAAACCCTAAACCCCGATCAATCATGTATGGAATATGAATTATTCAGGCACATGAGATCCGAACGGCTCCCCCCGGCGCCTTCTCAAGCTCCTCGCTCTTGTCCTCATCCATGGTGGTGAACCTGCGTTGCATTAGCGTTGAGGGTTTAGGGGTTTGGGGTGTAGGGGTTTAGGGCCAGGGATTCGAGAAGATCATGATTTGGGGCGAGGATTGGTGTTTAAGTTTACATGCCACCCATCGAATGAAACTAGGGAGTATCAGGGAACACCAGTAAAACTGTAGTACTTGTTCCTGTCCCTAATAGGGTTTTGGGGGTTCTTTACTATAATTAACTATAATATAATATACCCCCTATTCTAATTATTAAGGCTCCTATCTTAGGTCAGGGTTGGGGACAGGCTGGCTGGCTTGAGCTGGGGGATGCTGTAGCCTTGGGACACGGCCAGACCTGTCAGAGCCCCGTCGGGGTTCTTCTGGGCTCTGTGAAGCTTCTATAAGACTGTAATGTAGGGGCCTTAATAATTAGAATAGGGTTCCTCTAAGGGTTCCTTAAAAGGTTCCATAAGAGTTACTATAAGACTAGAATGTAGGGGCCTTAACAATCAGAATAAGTTTTTGCCTAAAATCTAGTATTGCTAATTATCAAGTCCCCTACATTAAGGGCGAGTTTGAACTTGTCCGAATATTGATTTCTGTGAAAGACCTGAACCCTAAGCCAAAAGCCCCAAAACCGCCCGAACCCCGAACCCCGCAAATGCTGAGTACTGATACTTAAAACCCAGTTCCCTGCATATCCAAACCTCTGTGCAAAGGAGTCTCAAAATACTCTAATTACGAGGCAACACTTACAACCCCAAACTACCGAACTTTCGACTAAAATAGCAAGGTTGTGAAGACTCAACGCCAGCTTAACTTCACAATTAGCGGCATGATGTCCGCCGTGTTTGCCGTGATGGGCCGCACCGCCGGAGACTTGCTGTACTCCTCGCAGAAGTCCATGAAAGTGCCTGTGTTCAGGTCTCTGGCAATTTTTTGCGAACAGTGCAGTAGCACACTGTTCACAGGGTTGGTAAAGCCCAAAACCCTAAACCCTAAAGCCCTGAAGCCAAAACCCTAAACCCCCCCTTATCTCGACAGTCCTCAACCCTAAAACAGGACAAGCCCGAAACCCTAAGACTCGATAGTCTCTACACCGAAAACCTCAAAATCCTGGAACCTCGCGGGCTGAAACGAATAATGTTTAAGGTTTGGGGGCCCACGGGTTTGTGGTTTTGTCTTGCGGCTCAGATGTGCGATTTAGGGCCGCAGCAAACCCGTCACCTCCTTCCCAAAAGGGAGGGTCTTCGACCATATGGTGGACCCGACTTGACGAAAGCCATGCGTCATGGACATGTGGCCAACTACTGTCTGCGAAAAGGGTGCGCAAAGACATTCCAAGACAGCCGGATGAATAATGAGAACACTGTCTTGGAGTAATATAGGGGCCTGAATAATTCGAATAGGGTTTGGGGGGTATACACTATGATTATACTAAGGAGCCTCCAAAATAGTATTGGTAATTATTCAAGCCACTATATTGCGAACCATAACTCCTTATCGCAGCAGCCATTTACAGTCATGTATGTACAGTCGCAGTGAACGGAAACCTTGGAGCAGCCCCGACCGAAACAACAAGACTCAAACCCCACAGCCCTCACCCTTCCTAAACCCTCAAATCAAATAGCCCCAACTGAAGCCCTGAAGCCCCCCCCTTTTACAGAAAGCCCTTGAACCCTGCCAAAAACTGTTTCAACGGGCTGCGGCGAGTGATGACCTCTGAACCGGTGACACGGGAGACGGTCCTTAGAATTTCTCATAACTAAACCTGATGCAGCAGCACTCGCTACTTTTGCGTCGGGTTCATACGTTCAGGGAATGTACTCCTAACGGCATGAAACACTTCAATCCGTCGCAAAGCTAGAATATGCTTGGCTCACAGGACCCGTAAAGTCTATGACATGATGACTATGAGCCTGGGGATTATAGGGAAGCCCCCAATTCGCAGATGCTCCTGCCAGTTATAAAGTAGACCCCTGATTCATACCCCCGCCCCCCCCCTTGCATTCAGCAGAGCGCATCAAAAAATAATGCCCAGACACTGAAACAAGCGGGGATCCACGCTTTTCTCTGAGATGTGGGAACAATGTGCAAGAACCAGACACGCCCCAAAAATCCCCCAAACCCTGCACTCTTAATTTTTGAGTCTGAATACTACACTGCATGCTGATCTCTCGAGCTCCTGAACCCTAAACCCTAAACCCTAAACCCTAAACCCTAAACCCTAAACCCTAAACCCTAAACCCTAAACCCAATGAAGCTAAACGAAGCAGGGCCTAGGGCCATTGAAGCCAAACGAAACACGGT